ATTCTCTTCGTGGTTTTCTTTTCATTCAAGTAAATTCGACTGATGTTTTACTTTGTGGCGGTTTTGTGGTTTGGGAAAGGTGATGGGGTGAAAGCTCCGCAGCCCCTTTGCCCCGAAGTTGCTCTTCAGAAGGCGGCAGTGGGTTTATTCGTCGCTCGTGTGCCTCAGAATTTGACCGGAAAGGACAATAGCCGAAAGGGAAATTCAGTCTTTAGTTACATGCAGCTATCTCCCGAGACTGCCAATATATACCATTTAGTGCCATTTCTGATGACAGGAGGTATTTTATGTGTCCATTAAGAATTGGACAGAGACCACCGGCGAACTTCACTGGTTGCCAGTAGTGCTAGTAACGACTTTCCATCCCTACTGATTTGGCTGAGCCCCAGCTGGTGACGAGGAGGAGAAGGGCTCCATCCTCTTTCCAGACTCCAAGCTATCCAGTACGCCGGGCTTCCCTTGGTTTTATAGATGTATGGGTTTTTGTCCTGTGGTACTTCGGTTTTAAAACTCTAAAGTGGTTTTCTGATGGAGAATCTGACCGGTACTGCTTTCCCGCGATGACTCTTTACACAGCAGCATTGTGATCAGGAGGAACAAGTTTGTGATTCAACACACCTTGATTAATGAAAATTTTCAAAAATTTTCAAAAATGTTGAAAAAGTGGAAGAAGCTAGCACACTGATGCGTGGTTAAATTGGCCACTTTTGCTTTTCAGGGATTTATGCAAACACTTGTTTATTTAATTACATCTAATTTAAGGACACGCACGCAAGCGTTTTGCTTTGATCTATGACTTTCACAACATTCAGCAAATGCCACAGGAAAAGTGCATGAATAGCACCTTTTCTCACTTGGTTTCGTGTCCTACCACACATTCACACAACTTTGATGGGAAACTGTAACTGAACCTACATTTGCTCAAAAAAAGGTCACTTTGAAAGCTTTGAAGCACCTTTTAACAAACCTGTCCTGAATTTCAAGTAGCTGACAACACTTGAGATGGGTTGAGTTTCTTTGGAGTTCGGGTTAGACTGTGACCCTTTCATAGGCTTTCCCTGCACACGTTTCCCTGTCACAAACTGTGACCCAGCATTTACCTTCCAGGCTGTGCCTGCATCTCCTGCATGTACGTCAGGAAACAGGAAGAAGTTTGGAGTATCTTCCTTTTTGAAGGTTTTATTCAGTGTAACGTACTGTTCCAGACCTTTGTCGTCCTAAGTGAACTGGGAAATACTCCCCGCTTCGCGTCATGAAGAGTATTTTACTGGCTCCTCACTTTTTGTGCCATAGGCAATTGCTGTTTGTCAGGTAAAGTCTGCTGGGAGCTTGGCTAATGCAAAGCAGGAATTTGAAACAGTTGGCTCGCGTAGCAGGTATTACAGATTTACTGAGTATATCCTGTCATTTTCACAGGCCTGCGTCTCTCCAGGGACAGGGCTTTCCGGAGAAACAAATCAAGAAAAAAACCCTGGTTTATCTTCCCTCCACCCAGCGTCAGTTTTTCGCGGCTGTGCATAGGGACTGCAGAGCAGCGTGAAGTGCTGTGTAGGACAGAGGCTTCTCCAGGTGCTGGTGCTCCCACGGACAGTAAGTATCCAGCACCAAACCAGAGCACGCCAGAGGTTTACAACCATGTGGATTCTGGAGAAAGATCTTATTAAATCCAGCGTCCAGCCCATTGTTTGTACCATGTTTAATTTGCTCTTTCGCATTCTCTTTTTCCTCTGCCCATCCTTCGCCGCACGTTTCTTCCATCTCTCCTCCTCTTTCTTCTTCTTTTCCCTGTTCCAGTCTTTTTTCCCTGTGGCCTTCCCTCTTCTAGTGTTTACCTACCTTGGGCTGGGCCTCTCCTGCAGCCCCTGCCAGGCCGCTGGTTCCTGCTGCTCTAAATCAGTCCTCCCAGAGTCAATGGCTCCTCTCAGTCACTCACAGGAGGTGCAAATCCAGTGGGGCAAATTAAGCATAGCGACGCACAGGCAGAGCGGCCGAGTAGCCAGAAGGCTTCAGCAGCTAAAATTCAAGTGGGTTCAGATTTTTTTTCTTGCTTTGATTTGCTCAGAGTTTATGCTGAATTCTTTTGAGTATGGCATTTCCTATTTGTTTTCTTCCTCTTCCCTGCTGCCCTCCCTTCAGCTATGCTCATGCCTGTCAGTTTTTGTACAGTCTGTGCCTTGCCTGTGGTTTCCAACATTTGAGGGGTTTTGCTTTGCAGTATTTGTGCGCTGAGAGGCACTTTGCTTTGTCGGTGTGCTGCGTTTTTCTCTGGCTGCTGTCAAGGTGTCGCAGAGGTTGTCATTGTGTGAAAGTGGAAGGGGAAACTAACCCTGCAGGGAAACGGAGAAGGAAAATGTGATGTAGTATTCAGTTGTGCTCATTGTTGCTTTCATGTGTGAACTGCACCGCTATGCAGATATACCCTACACAGATATAAAGGGATGTAGCAGTGTAACGGAGGCAAGAAGCATCCCTGCTGATGGTCAGTGTGTTCCTGTTGAACCGCTGACTGGCAGTACGTACTGCATGGCTTTCTCACCCCAAGCTGGA